GGGGCTTGGATGAGGCCGTTCAGCTCTATGATCCTGTTCAATTTGGGTTTGCCAGTCTTCCCTTCATCACCCACGGGCCAGTCTCAATAATCAAGATCTATGTTATGTGCTTTGTGGCATAATTAAGGCCGCTGCTTAATTAGAACAGCCATCTACCTCCAGACAAGGGGACATCAGTAATGCCTCCAGCAGAGGAAGGTGGAGAGAACTTTGGTTGGAGGGTGGACGGAAGTGCCTGTGGGCGGGAACACATACACACAGGTGTGCACCCACACGTCGCATTGCAGGCACACGATGCATGGTACACATGCACGCACGTGCTCCTACCCTCCGCGTTGTGACTGATGACTGCATCCGCCGGAGCAGTCGGTGAGGCAGTTTCTGATTGGATGGGGGGCTCCGTGGGGATTCGGGCTGTTTAGGAAGCCAAACTTGAAGGTGTCCAATGGACACAGCCTGAGCGTGCATGTATGTAGTTATTCATTCAGTCATCCATGAGCGGTTGCTGAGGGCCTCCTAGGCACCAGGCATGGCCGTCGACGTGCGACAGCACAGCTGTGGCTGTTTGCGGAGCGGAAGACGCCCTGGAACGCGCAGCACCCTGTTGGGCTGCCAGCCTTGGGCGCTCCTCCCTGTGGGCGCCGGGCACCCACAGCTGCGTGGTTAGTCCTCCTCTTCCCACGTCTGGTCCATCACCCACATCGCGTGTGGGGCGGGGGTGGTGGTGGGGGCAGTTCTGGGCTTGTGCCTGGCGCCAAAGCCTCCTCCTTTCTTTTTTGGGGAGGAAATGGGATATAAACAAACTGGTAAATAACTAAATAAAACCCACATCCTCCAATTCAGGGAGGCAGAGAGCTGCGCCCCTTCAAATCAGTGCTTCTGTAAATCAGGTTTCCATCTATTAAGGCGGATTATCAATGGCATCTCTCTCAAAGTGCACCCTGATGTCTTCTCTCGTCACGTGAGAATGACAGCCGGGATTGGTCACTCTGTCAGCTTTTATTTTCGCAGACAGAGGTTTCTTGTGGGGGCAGGCCTGCGCTGTGAGGGGCAGGCTGGTCTCAACGCCCAAAGGGAAAGTCAGAGTCACTCCTGCTACTCAGACAAACCCAGGCCCAGCAAGACGCTGGTGGAGAGCACTCCCGAGGATGTGAGGATGTGCAGTGACACACCGGACACCCCAGGTGGAGTCCTTCCGGCTTGAAGAAGCAGAGAACCCAACGCAAATTTGCTTAAGCCAAAAAATTTAAAAATATATATGCATGTGTATGTGTGCATACTAATTTACTGCAGAGTCTAGAGGATTCAGTTTTTAGTTATTTGTGATTTATTGCAGGTGGCTTCAGGGACAGCTGGATCCAGGTGCTCATATACGGCACTGGAGCCCAGTTCCTCCCCAGCTCCCAGCTCTGTCACGCCCTGCACTGATTTTTCTCTTGGGTTTCACAGGTGGGCCCTGAGAGCTCAAGCTTTCCCCACATGACGACGACGGTGCAGCTCCCAGGCTACTACCCTTGCAGTTTTATTTTTGGGGAAAGCGGTTTTTCCCCTCATGGCCTCAGGTGACTCCAAGATTCGCACTGGCCTGCGCCCTGTGATATCCCTGAGCCAGTCACTGTGGCTGGTGGGCCATATGCTCTGACTGGCTTAGCCTTGGGTCATGTGATCTGCCCTGCAGCCAGAGTGGAAAGTTTCCATGGGTCCCCACGTGAAAACTGGGAGCTGCTGCCCAGTGAAAGAGCCGGATTTCCAGGAGGTGGACGACCAGCATCTGTTACATGCAGACTCACATCTGTTCTGTAAATGCCACTGCTCTGACGCTGGGAGATGCACGGGGCTGATGGGAGACCCTGCCCTTGGCCAGGGCTGGCGGTGGCTGAGCGGTCCAGTTGCCTTCACCGCTGTGGGCTGGGACCGCTCGGAAGGCAGGTCCTGGGAGGACTCGGGGGGTCGCAGAGAGGCTTCAGCTCCGCCGTAATTCAGTCCTGAGTCAGAGCCGGGACTGGACACAAGCCCGCTGCCTCTGGGGCATGTGGAGGGTTCTAGGGGGCTCTGCAGAACAGCCAAGAGGAGGGGTCGCTGGGAAGCGGGGTCAGGACTGGGCTGCTTTGTTGTGACAGCGAGCGCTGCGAGGCGGAGGAGGAGGAGCAGGCATGGAGAGTGGGTCCCTTCTCTCTCACTGCCGGTAAAAAGTCCAGACCCCACGGCTCAGGGAGCCCCGCGGTGGTGACCCTTCACGCGTGCGCTCACTTCACGGCGGGGAGGGTGGGGCGTTGTCTGCACAAGCCCCCGCCGTGAGGGGCAGCGGCAAACTCCTGCCTGGGGTCCCTTAACAATGACAAACTGCACCACGAGCGGAACAGCTTTGCTGAGTCCTGCGAGTCCTTCCAGTGAATTACCGAACTTGAGGCTGGCCCTGGGGGGCCCTCTGAGCAGCACCCCTGCTGCCCGGGAGCTCAGAGCCAAGAACAGGGCTGATCTCCAGTGCTGAGCCGACCCGGACCAGCCTGCTGACGGGGTAACGTTTAGTTCATCCTCCAGAAATCAGGGCGCTCTGGGGGCATTCAGAAATCGACACACACTGGAACACACGTGCACGTGTGTGTACTTCCATGCACGTGTACCACACACACACCGCCTCAGAGCACGACCGGGCACGTCCCAAGCCTGAGTCATCAGGGCCACGTCCGTGCCTGCTGCCACATCTGGGCACCACTGTGTTATTATTTACTTAGTTAGAATGTTCCTTCAAACCGGCCTGTTTTACACCTAAATGCATTTTTTTAATTCAAAAAGGAACCTCTGTGCCATCGCTGCAAATGGAAAGCGGCATTACTTGTGCGAAACCAGTGGTGAGCACGAACAGAAACATGATGGAAACAAAACCACACCGTCGCCAGCAGCACGTGGTGGAGGCGGCGGGAGAGGCCCTGCTCCGGGCTCCCTGTGGACAGCAGGGGAACCCCTCTGGGATGGGGTCACCGGAGCGCCCAGGGAGCCGGGCAGAAGCCTCCCCTGGCGAGGCTCCTGGCCGTCCAGGGAACTCGGCAGCACCCAGGGTCAGGTTCTGCACGTTTAAGGGACAGGGTGGGGCCAGTCGCTGTGCCCCAGCTCTCCCTCTCTCCCTCTCTCCCTCCCAAGCCCTTGAGCTTGGAGGAACAGGGAGTCCGTGAGGATCGCCCCCTGGCCCTCAGTGGGCTGGGGTAGCCCCAAGGCCAGCTCTGCAGCCCCCCGAGTCCCCAGTGAAGCTGATCTCCCAACGACCCCCTGCACCCACAAGGATGATACCCCCTTTCACGCTTCCGGCCCTTCCCCATCGGCCTTCCTACCCCCTCCCAGGGCTTCCAGGATCACTTCCCAAACCAGAGTCCTCTCTCAGAGGCCACAGCAGGGAGGGGGGCAAAGCAGACAGGACCTAAAAGCAGACATCCCCTCCCCGCATCCGTCTTTCCTTGAAGGCTGCTCCGGATGCCGGGGCACTGCCTGTCAGCCACTCAGGACTCAGCGCAGCAGCCTTGACCACAGAGCTGCCCAGCCCAGCCCCGAAGTCCGGCCTCTGCCCGGAAGGTGCCCCTGGAAGTGCTTTTCTCGCTCAAGGTTCCTGGCTGCAGGCTGGGTTCCCGTGGCTGGAGCCACAGGAAGGAGTCTGGCTGGACTTGCCACAAACCTGTGTTTAGCTGAACTTACTAAAGCAATGAGGTCCCCTTGGTGTGACTTCTGCCAAGCTACCTGTGAGCTTCAGCACAGGATGCAACCATCTGAGACCAGAAGTCGGTCCTGAGTGACCAGAGGCAAGGCCATCAGGGAATCTGACTTCTGACTCATCAGCCGCTGTGGCTTCAGGGGCAAGGGGGACGGGGGATTACAGGCAAGTGACCGACATAGGAATGCCTTGCAGACACAAGCGATGCTCGCTGCAGACAGAATCTCCACCATCGCGGTCACTGAACCCAAAGCACAGAGCACGAGCCTACTGGGTAGAGCCTGACTCCAAGCTTGTCACCTGTCACCTGCATCATTCGTGTCCGTGGCAGCACCTTGAGCATCAGCGATGGCGCAGCCCAGCTTTCTCAGACCTGCAAAGGGCTAAGGCAGAGGGACTGAATAGCCAACGTCTGGGAGCTGGGCACTGAAAGAGGGCGCCCGTGGCCGAGAGCAGAGAAATCGGAGGAAAGCAGACCGACGGGGAGGGTGCCCCTCCCTCCTCTCGGCCTGTCCAGCCCGTCCTTGGGAAGGTCTGTGTGCGGGAGCCTGGGAGCCCGTGGCGGGCTGCCTGGAGGTACCTGTTGGGGGGGGGCGCCGTACTCACTTTTTGGGCCTGTAGTCGGGGATGGTCCTGTCCAGGGAGATGCGGTCGCTGAGCTGTGCGTTGTACCCAAATTCCTCGTACTTGCTCTCCGTCTCCTGGCTGTCCTCATGCAGCGTGGCTGCCATGCCACCCTGGCCCAGGCCACCCGGCCCCTCCACCAGACCGATGGGCTTGGCGAGGCCTGGCGGAAGGAGGACAAATGCCATCAGGCAGGTGCCAGGGCCTACCGCATCCTCCCTGTCCAGCCTCCCAGCCTCTCCCTAAGGGCCCCTTTCTTCAGGTGCAAACTCAGCAAATTCCTCACATGCCGCAGGCTTCCAGCTCCAGGACTTGCAGGAAAGGCAAAGCTACGCAGACAGCAAAAGATCAGCGTTTGCCCAGGGTTTGCGGGGAGGGTGAACGCAGAGCACAGGATTTTTAGGCAGTGAAACGACTGTGTGATTCCACGAGGGTGGGTATGTGTCATTTGTCCAAACCAGAGCAAGTGTAACAGCAAGAGTGAACCCTCGAGTCAACTGTGGACTCTGAGCAATTACGATGCACCAGCGAATGCACCACATTAACGCAGCGTGTCAATCACGGGGCAAACTTTGGGGGCAGTGGGCTAATGGGAACGCTCTGTACTCTCCACCCAAAACTGTTCTAAGAAGCAAAA